GTAGGAAGAGTCACATGAACTGCCGACCAGTGAATGTGCCTGAATGGGACTTAACCTAAATGAAACGTTAGCTATCTTAACATTCAAGACAAAAGGGTCCTCTAAACAACCAGCCTTTCTTTCCTGATAACAGCTTCACACACGATAAGACTTGAATTTCAAGAGGGAACTGAAGCAAATATGAACAAGGGCTGTGGATGAACGTTTATGTAAGTCACTCTGTAAATGTAAATTGTCTTTTTTATTTTTTCACTTTTTTTTCAAAGTTGTGCAGAACTTTTTAAACTTCATATAATACCATCTGCACTAAAATGTTTAATGATCCTTGACAAATGAGAAAAGTATGTTGGAAAAAATAATAATAAAATAAAACAGCCCAAATCCATCTACACTGGTCACTAGACATTATTAGCAACATTATTTGCCTTTTCTCAATCTCAAATTATGTGTTAACCAGTGTTGGGCAGTAACTAGCTTCCAGCAACTAATAATATTACTTTTTACAGTAACTAGTAGTGTAACTAATTACTAATAAGATTTTTGTAATAATATTACAGTTACCATCCATAAAACAGCTCGTTAGTTATTTTGATGCCTCAACCCCTGCTGATTTGAAATCCAACAATACAATAATTCCTAAATTTATTTTCATAATTCACATGAAGTCAGCAGTGCATCAAGCAAGCTTGAAATATGGAAAAGCTTACATTTATTGGATGGAAATATTGCCATTGCATTGATTTTGTCAGGAGAAAAGATGATCTGAACACCGATGTGTAGTTGTGGCATTACTTTGGCATTGCATGGCTTGCCCACCCACAAAATTCTTTTTTGATCCCGATTCCTTTGATCCCGATATAAATTATATTACTATGATTGAAAATCTTACACATGTATGCCATTTCTTTTGATAAATTACATCATGAAATACACATCATATTTGGGTAAAGAGAAATTATAAAAGAGTGTTTGTAATAACTTTTGACTGCGATCCAATGTGGATTCTGGTCAAATGATGAGGCAGAAATATATTGTTATAACATTTTAGAAGAATTTTGTGTGGAAGATACACAATTACAACTTACATGGGGGCATGAAGGAAAAGTAATGTAACTATAGTGTTACTAATTAGTGTTGCCAGAAAGTAATAAATAAAGTAATCATTTTACTTTTGAAAGGAGTAACTAGTAATGAGCAATATATTACATTTTTGGAGTAACACTCTTGATAGAGGTAGACATAGTATAGGCTAGTTTCCAGAAGATGGCGCTAGAGTTGCATTAACAATAATGAAGTCATGAAAATGCATGAAATATTCAACTTCAATATTCAGGATGTTGAAATCAATGGGAACTTCAATGGGAATAACAGGAATAACAGGAGGAGTTCGCTAAACTGCAATAAAAGGAAATTCAATACAGACACACAAAAGCTTTAAGACAAAACATACATAGCTACTCACATGATTAATCACTATTTGCTTATTAAGATACAAACTTCCGTGGAGGAGAAAAGGAATTACAGGAAGACCGTTCCTTTATTTCCTATAGCTGTAATGTAAATCAGACGTTTAGTTCAGTACAGTTCAATAGAGTTAACCGTAGCCAGCAGCTTTTTGATGGGAAAGTCGACATAAATAAATAAATAAATATATATATATATATATAAATTTCATCTGCAGAACATAAGAGAATATATTAAATATTGACTGCCATTGTATGGACAAATAAATATTCAAAGGGAACCGAAACTGTTTAATTGTGCCATACTGTACCACTGTGTGTATTCCGTCTTGTTCAAATATAGAATGCAATTTGTTTTCAAAATTTGATTAAAGCACTTCCACAATGTTCCATAAAAAATACATTTATATTATTTCAGTTAAGAGTAATCCGGTAGCACCCGTCCAAAAATCTGGCTCCTGATTATGTAACAGTACACCTGTGCCCTGTATACACGCCTCTTCAGTGAACAGCACTTACAGAAAAGACGCTGTTTTCATGTAAAGATCTGTCGTAGGCCTAAAGCTGGCGCCAGTCACGTGATACTTCTGAATGCAAGGGATTTTTTTTTGTCTAATTTTCATGAATTCTCTAAAACTTCATAATGATTCATTCCCATTACACGGAACATCATCATCATCATCATCATAATCATCATTATTGTTTTTTTTTGTTGTTGTTGTTATTTATAAGGTTTGTTATTATTATTTATAAAAAAGCACTGAAGATTTAGAAGTAGCTGAAACTTTTGTTTATTAAAGGTTATTTGTAAGTTGCTATGTAAACTGTGCGCAAAAAAAAAAATCAAACTGCAAAAATATATTGATGCAGAGCGTAATATTGAAATGGGGTCACGGTAACAAATGGTTTCATACAAAAACGCAGGGGAAGAAGCGTTTCTAAACATTGGCTACTATTCAAGGAAACCACACGAGGCTTTGTTTATGTGGTTTGGAATTCAGTGATGTGGCCTCTGGATCACGTGACTATAAAAAAAAAGTTCAAAATGAAAGTGACCAGAGTTTATTTTCTTTATCTGATGTCTAAATTACGACAGCATTGCTTTTGTGATAACGTAGCCAACTTTCCGAGACGGGAGGACAGGTCAAATTCTAAGGAGGCAAGGATGAGAAAGTGAGGTTCAGCTCATCTTAACATATAGTTTCTACATGTTTTAGAATTAGGTGATTGTATTTCTGGATTCACTATTTCCAGAGGCAGACAGTAGTGAAGTATTTTTTACTTTACTCAAGTAAATTTAAAAAGTATCTGTAGTTTAGTATAGAGTGTTTTTCTTTGGAAAACTTTACTTCACTACATTCCAAAGCATAATGTCATACTTTTTACTGCACTTCATTTCATAAATAAAAGTGGTTGTGTGTTTTACCTTTAATACTTAAGAACATTAAAAATGTAGTACTTTCTTGAACTCAAGTAAATCTTTTAATTACTTTTACTTGAGTAAAAGTAAGAAAGTAATAGATTTCTAATGCAATTAAGTATTAAATGATATTTAATATGAAACGTAGTGCAGTAAAAAGTACAATATTATGCTTTGGAATGTTGTGAAGTAAAGTATTCTAAAGAAAAACACTCTGATAAAGTACAGACACCTAAAAAGTACTTTTACAGCAGAGTAAAAATACTTCACTACTGTCCGCCTCTGACTATTTCAAGAAGTAGGCCTATTCCCTATATTCCATAAATAGCATAAGGTGACTCGAACAATTGCAGTTTAGGAGAAACAGCACCATCTATAGGAAATTATAGCTACTATGGGAGCAGGTCACTTGCTTTCACTTTCGTTTTCCCGTAAAGCACTGGAGTAGGCTATGCAGCAAAGATCAAATAGACATGTGTTTGAATAGCAAACAATGCATTTCAACCGTAAAGGAACAAGGTAAGGATCATTTTCATGTACGTAATTATGTAAACAGATAGTAATGATGCAAGCATTTGATAGATTTCTCCTGTACTGTGACTTTGCTGTATAAGAGACAGGTGGCTGATTGAGTCAGATTTTATAAATCTGCAGGGTATGGCTGTGTGAATGAAACAGATATGCAAAAATATGCAATTGATTTCTGGTGGCTGCATCCACAACACAGTCCGCATTTGGAATTATGCATTTGTGTGTATGATGAAATTAATGCAAAAATATAGACCTGTCATCACACACTGTAAATATCTGCAGAGAAATCTAGAGAAGGCATGAACTCAGACAGATGATGATGACGATGATGATGGCATTGTACCAAAATGTCATCGAATATAAAAATGTGCCTAACATGTTCAAACAGTTCCTCCATCTGATAAAGAAGATTGTTTCAGGGAAAAGCTCTGATAATTGACACATGCCTGTTTGTTTAGATTCTCTTCCTTATGTGTGGAAGTGCAAGCACGTTATTCTCCGCTAGTGGTCCTCCAACTGTAAATATGTGCCTTTCTGAGAAATACAAGAGAAACGAAAGTATAACCAGCAGCCTAATTGAAAGGCAAACATCTCATTGTAAAGAAAATACACCCTCTAATTTGCATGCCTGGGATTTGAGTTTCACAATGATATCATTTAAACGAATCACAGAGTCAGAGGAGTTCATTTCACTCAAAAGGTGTTTTGTTGTAGGCTGATATCATTCTTCTTGTTAAATGGGCTTTCAGGATATGGTTTATTCACATGTAAATCTCAATGACTGGGCCATAAAGACTAATAGCTCATGCAGACAATACATTTTTGACTCCCCTGAAATTGCATGCAAAACTTTTAAACATATTCTGGAGACAGCATTTTTTTTTTAATAATAACTTTGGCACAAATGCTATGATGTTTAATAAGCAGAACTTTTCGTGCAGTGCATGTCTGAGTGTTTATATGCATGTTGTCATGCAACCTAAAATCTATCACGGTTTGTAAGAAATGAAACTCATGGATATATGTTTGCATGGTCCGCAGATGTGGATTTACTGGCTGAAAGCGAGTTTCATTTACGACTAATGCTTTACAGATCCAACCCACTGTGGATCAAACTGTGTTAAAACTGACAGATGCTTTAACACAGTGTTACATTAACAGGACAAATGCAGACATGCATAATAACACACACACACGTGTGTGTGTGTGTGTGTGTGTGTGTGTGTGTGTAGGCCTACTAATACTGAATATGATACCAATACTGAATCAGACTAGAAACGCACAATGACATTAGGAAATTCATGTGGCCCTTAACCTTAGTTGATCATTGTTCATTCAGATCATTTTCTTGGTATTCTTTGGTAAAAAAAAAAAATGGAACTTTATTTGGAAATGCATAAAAGTTTAAAAGAGAAGTGAAAGAAGACGCTTTCTGTGTTACTATGATCTTGTTGGTGTAGGAGTGGCTAATCCTGAACTGATATCAGAGAAAGCCTGAAAGTGAAAGGATTCCGTGAAATGGGCGGAGCTGTTCGCACTATATGTAGTGGTTTCAAAGCGCTGTCAATTCATTCTGACATTAGAACGAGCAGAGAGCAAGCGCACAGAGTTTGTGTCGTGCGCTGAGGAAATCTCTATCGCGATATAACGGTGGAATACATCAATGGGAGTTCCAAAACACCTGATTTTGGAAACGGCGACGAGAGTTTGTCAAAGGCAAAGTTGTACTAACTGCTCTTGGAGTTCACATTCGCTAAAACGGTAAGATTCCACTTTTACGCGCAACTAAACTTTAGCCTACTGTTAAAACAGTTTAACGGGCTGTTTTCGATTGAAATGTTCGGATTTAAGAGCGTTTTGTTGGGTTTATTTACGTTATAATGCAACGCTTATAACAACACTTATCAAGTAAACTTTAGAATTTTAAAATAGTTTGTATACTGTAGCAATGCTAAAATAAAAAGACTTATGAAATAAACTTCTATTACGCTTTCTTTTAGATAGAAGTTTTATCAAATAAACTTAAACACCTAATGCCCTGATAATGGAGTGAACAGGATTAGTCAATTTTACAGATACATTCAGATGAGTCACTATCTATGTTGCCATGAAACAAGCGAGTTTACTGCAGCCTGTGTGGCTTTATCAGTACACCATGTGATTGACTTGGAAAGGCCACTGATTAACTGTGTTCTTCACTTGCTCTTCAACAGACAGATGAGTCTCATCTAGATGACCTTCCTGTGGTACGGCATGGAAGACCACACCGGTTGGTCTTTCCTGTAGGATGGTGGCGCACAGTTCAGTGGAAGGGAATCAAGGCACAGAAGAACCCCAAGCGAGGACAGAAGCCTCCCCAGAGGTCTCCCAATCCCAAAGGCCCAGGCCAAGCCAACTGGCAGCGGTTATCCAGACACATTTCAGGCCCTTCAACTATGCCAGGGACTTCAAGACCATCGCGAAGACCACCTCAATGCTAGAGGAGAGTGGCTTCTATTGGGGTCCCATGACTGTGGAGGAAGCGCATCAGAAGCTGAAGAAGGAGCCAGTGGGAACTTTCCTGATCCGGGACAGTCGTCAGAGTGACGTCTTCTTTACACTGAGTTACACAGCACAAAACGGTCCCGTCAGCGTCCGGATTACCTTCAAGAATTCCAAATTCAGTCTGACTGGCAGCAAGCAATCTTTTGACTGTCTTTTCAAACTGCTGGAGCACTACATCAGTTCCCCGAAGAAGGGTCTCGTCAGGCCCTACAGGAAAGAACAGGTGCAGTCCCTGCAGCAGCTGTGCCGCAGACGGATTATTGAAACATGCGGCGGAAAAGACATCGACTGCATCCCTGTGCACCCGATCCTCAAAGACTTCCTCCATGCCTTCCCTCATCCACTATGAAGACGAGACTCATTGCATTAAAGCGCTGCTGGAATATTCTGGAGATACTTGATGGACTCCTCGTGGTCCTGCTCTGTTTTAGGACGCAGGAATCATACTGTAGCACATTTTGGAATATCATTCTTGAACACTGCACAATGAAAGTTTACATTGTTTGTGAATGTTTACACTCTATGGGAATATTGTGTTCCTTCGATTATATTTCTGCTATGCAGAAAGATTTATTTCAAGATAATACTTTTTATAAAAATAATAAATATATTTGTAAACAACTTAAAACATCTCAATTTTTACTTTATTTGTTGGGGGATTCATGCACTCGGAGACCTGAATGGAAATGCTTGATTACTGTTTTTTTGTTATTAGATTCAGAAAAAAGCAGATCTACTTTAGTCATCAAATGGAGTTGTTTTTAACTATCACATTTCAATGAAAGGCTTAGTGAACACAAATGAATGGCTACAAAAATACCAGTTATATTTAAATTAAAAGTTTTTAAATTATATTCAAATAAAGGTTTGCATATCTAAAAAACAATAATCAAATTAAACTATGTAGGCAAGAACTTTTCTTTCAATATTGCTATTCGTTTTTATCTAAACATACACTAAATAACGGCCAGATGACATTTCAAATGAAATAAGTGCTTAAATAGACTACAGGCGAGAAGTTTCCAAATTGAGCCTCACCCTTGTCTAACAAGATTCAAGATTCATATCTTAGCCTAATCCCTGCCCAGGAAACCCGCCTTTTTCTTAGACTCTGACAGGTCATGTTTAAGCTATGGTGTATTTTACTAGATTACGGGCTTTGTGTACCTGGATTCCTGAAATGACATACAGTCAGACAGGGACTTATAGGAAGTCCAGGCCAGACATTCTGCACTGAACCAGGCTGATTAATCAGGGTAGTAGCGTGGTTGAGGGGCGGAGCTGTGGTGACCGTAAACTGCTCATGGCTCAGACAGACATTTACAAGAAATGAAGTGGGTTGTGAGGACTGATGGAGTGTGAAGGGGAGGAGCCTGTGATCTCCAGAGACGCTCGTACACGTCGGTATCAATAAAACTCTGCGACACATCTGACAGGCTTACGCAGAAAAGTGACTAAGAACAAAACAATACTCGGCATCAGGGGTTCACGTAAACTTTAGATCACTGCTTGGAATTCCATTCGAGGCTGAAGGAAGTGATCTGCACTGTTCAGTCATCAGATAAGACTATGACAAGATGTTGAAACACTCAGATTGTGTTTTATTCTGTGTCAGACCCCGTTTTGAATGATCCTCTCGATAGAACAATGGGAATGAGCTGTTCTCTGGCTACATGTAGAGGTTCGAATCAATCATTAGCCAAACAGTGGATATAAACATGTCAAAGGTCAAAAGGAAGAGCTTTGTTACAAGTAAGCTTATCTTTGCGGGGAAAAAAACCCTTCCTGATTCTAATGAATTCATGTTATCATAATGTGGAAGTGAGGGGGAAATCATTCGATGCGCCCGGCTGGCTTATTTATCAAGGGATTTCCTTCTCCACTCTCAGCGCAGATTATCGATTAACTTTGTACATTTAATTCACACGTGAATCTGACACAAACAGGAAACTATTTACTCAGAAAATCGAACGGAGGAGCCTCGTTTGATCAGGTTAGATAGGTCGCTGAGGTTGACTGCGTGAACTGGTCGGTGTGGTAGAGGGTTAATCGGTCTATCTTCCCTCGCTCGCCTCTAGTGATTAATACACATGAAAGCGCAGTCACTTCCAGGAAAAGAGACAGTTGTGTTTCCCTGAAGAGCCCCTAATCTCCACTGCATCTGGCCTCAATTTACACAAACATACATGTGTACACACTCCTGAGCCGTGTATTTCCTTTTGGAACCACAACGCTCCCCTCCAAAATGACAGATATACACACACAAGCCCGTGTGGGTAATCTGTTCATAGAAACGGCCCTGGGTTGTGCTTTGAGTGCTCAAACTCAACCCATCCATGCAGAAAAGCTGAACCGAGCTGAGCTGACTCTCAAAGACTAAAATAAAATAAATAAAAATAAAAAAGTCAATAGAAGGCTAATACGTTTTAAAAAGAGTTTACATTTGTGGATAATAATAAAAAATAAAGCAATAATAGAGTTCATATTTGCAGCAAATAAGTCTTTTGGTAATAATAAAAAAGGTATATGTGTGGCATAGTTGTGGCAAATAATAATTTTTTTTGGTAAATAAAATAAAAAAGTTCATATTTGTGGCAAATAATAAAATGGGGGGGAAAACAATAAAACAAACAAACCATTTGTGGCAAATAATGCATTTTTGAGAAAATAAAAATGTCTAAATGAAAAGGCAAGTAGCTAACTCATTGACTAACTAGATGTTGGTCTGGAAACTCATTAGCCGTGATCAAACTGTAATTTTTAAAAATCTATTTATAGTTATGATGCTGAAGCCCCCTGGGCGTGGTTTTTGTAAATTGACAATGTTTCAGACCACAAAGCTATATTCCAGGAAGGCAAGTGATAGGGCTACCCACATAATGGTTACTATGACAACACTCATCTCTTGCCATCCCACATCAAGGTAAAAGGTCCCCATGGCCTCCACTGAGAATATGTGGGCAGGACTTCCAATTCACTGATTCACAAAGATAAACGTGTTTCACGCTAACAGAACACAAAGACCACCATTCTGTCATCTCCTCAGCCCCTTTTCCATACATAAACAGGTGGGTTTTAGATGGTTTGAGTATTAGTAAAGAAATATTTAGTAATTTCACACGTAAGGTCCCTATGAGGGGTTTGCGGCCCCTAGGGGCTCTATAGAGGTACTGCAGGGGGTCCAATAACACCTTTTTGACCTGATATTGGCGAAAAAAGGTGAATTAAAAACAAAATTAAGGCAACTTCAACCAAATTTAAATGTTTCATTATTTCATGCAACGTTCAATTTTAGTAGTTAAAATTAAAATATTCAAGTATACAGCTCATCAACAAAGATCATTTTAAAGGCTTCGCAACATAGCGCCTGCAACAATCTCACCATCTCATCTATTTACAGTGAAATACAGGGTGCTGTATTGTGGCAAGTCATATGGCTCTTCTCAGGTAAATAATGCAAACCACAAGCTATTGAGTGTGTTCTTCAGAAATAACACCCTTGTGATGCATCTTTCAGCAGAAGGCATGAGACACTATCAGCATGGGCTCCTGGAACAAGACCTCTAGAGAATACGCCAATGAGTCTCTCATGAGACTGTCTGTGTGCATCCATTTATAGTCGCTCTTAATAAGCTTCGTATCAACCCGTTTCTCAGACCAGAGGAACCACACTGAAGATAAAGGTCGCGTTTGTTCATTTAACAGATGCTTTTATCCAAACCGACATACTTGAGACTGACGTCACAGCCTAATTTTTCACAGAAATGCTTATTGATAGTGAATTGAAAGAAAAGAGAGAGAGAGAAATAATTGAATATATAAGTAGAAATTAAATAAAGAATGAATCTAAGAAAGGGAGGAAGAAAAAATAAATAAAACACGGTTGGTGTGGGGGCACCAAGGTGGTATGAGACTGTTGTATGAGTATGGTGCACAAGAGAGAATCCTTTCACCCTTAACGGGGAGGGTTGATTTACTACCCGTTCTCCTTCAAAACCTTTCCCAAGCCCTGAGGGGGGAATCACTTTATTTAGGAGTGAATCCGGTGTCACGTGCATTCAATCCACTTTGACATGTTCAGTCATTCAAAAACGGCCCTAGTGATGTGGTCGAATCTTGTAACCCCCCCACATTCGCGTACAAAAAAAAAGAAAATAAATAATAATAATAAAATAAAAGAAGAAGAAATAATAATACTAAATAAATAAATGGGAATGGGAAGGAATAAATAAATAAGAAAGTGAATGAATGAAAGGGGAGGCATAGGAAAAGAACAAACATATGAAATGCATATATACATATTAACAGTGTTGGGGAAAGTTACTTTTAAAAGTAATGCATTACAATATTGCGTTACTTCCTTAAAAAGTAACTAATTACGTTACTTAGTTACTTTTTATTGAAAGTCATTTGTTGCGTTACTTTTTAAATCTGGGCTGGGCTTGCTTGTTTGCTTTTAATATAAAAAGTTCTATTTTTGGCAAATGTAAAAGCACTTTCACACCAAAAGCCTCAGGCTGAAGGAAATGTAAATTCACGTCTGTACAGTAGAACACAGAAGAAGAAAGTTCAACACTCTTCAGCAATAAAAAAAGAAGAAGAAATGTTAATGTGTAATTTTTGCTTATTAGTATGGTTGAATTGGATCACCGAAGGTCAGCAGCAAATTGGTTAATAAAATGGGATTAAATACATAAAGGATATTTGTATTATTTAACATATTTAATTATTGCAGCTTTGAGTCATATTCTGAGTTGCTTTTAACTTTTTATTAATTTTGAGGAAAACTAAATCTGATTTTTTTTTGTTTGTTTTTTGTGAGTGAGATGAATTAATGCATGTTCACATTTATTCTAGAACTAAAGTAACATCTTACTCCCGATTTCTCTCAACAAGGGGACAGGAGAGCTTTCAATCAATAAATGGGGAAAAAAAGTAACTGGTGTTACTTATTTGAAAAAGTAACTCAGATATTTTCTTGTAAATTAAAAAGTAATGTGTTACTTTACTAGTTACTAGAAAAAAGTAATCTGATTACGTAACTCGTGTTACTTGTAATGCGTTACCCCAACACTGCATATTAATATATTCAGTGGTAGTATTATAATAGTAGAAATAAAATGTATAATAATAAAACTATACATTATGTCAATAGAATACATCAGTACAAGGAGACATGCCTAAACATATACACATACATTAGTACATATACAAATGCATAAACGTGCACATACATACAAATATTTATATATCTGCTCCTAGGTCTATATATTCACTCCCCTTATTCATCTTTTCTAACTATATGTTTGTAAAGTTGATGTTGGGAGAGTGCGTGGGTCCGGTGCCAGGTTTCTGATGTATATTGAAATAAGTCAGAAATTGATTCCAGATGTCCGTAAATATAAATATATATTTTCTTATTTGTGTATGTTATTTTTTTCTAATGAAATATATTCTATAAGAAGGTTAGTCCAGTGGTTGATGTGTATAATTTTTTTGATTTCCAGTTTAACAGAACTATTTTTTGGCGATAGTTAGAGAGATGAGGAGGGATGATCTGTGGTATTACCCAGTAAACAGAATGATGGAGACAGAGGAATCCTACAGCCCATAATG